CCCTAATCCCTAAACCTTTTAGGGTTTAGGGATACTATATCTTTTAAACCCTAAACTCCATACCTCAACCCCTTAAACTGCCGAGAGCGCCGCCGACCATTTGCGTAGGCGCTCGAGGCTCCGAGGCCGGGCCCCAGAACCCGATACCTGATCCATATGGGATTTAGGGGTTTAGGGGTTTAGGGGTTTAGGGATTTAGGGGTTTAGGGATTTAGGGCTTTACGGTTTAGGGTTTAGGGGTTAGGGTTCAGGGGTTTAGGGTTTTGGGGTTTAGGGTTTAGGGTTTAGGGACTGTGGTTTGCTGTGAGATGCAGAACTACGAGGGGAAGCAAAGAGCAAGAAAGCCCCTCTTCGAGTGTTTGGGGGGTGAGCCCCAAACCCTAACTGAGAATAGTTGGGGTGGGTTTAGGGCCTAGGGTTTCAGGTTTAAGGTTTAGGAATTACGGTTTTGTTTAGGCCGTGCATACAGTGTTGCAGTGTGCACCCGGTGGGTGCGCCTTTTAATTTACTTTAGGAATACACGCGTACTCACTTACCGCACGCTTGCGGCAGCATGTAGTCCCGCCCCAACCTAAACCCTGTAATCCCTAAAGAAGCAAACCGAGAACCCTGGATCCGATCCCAAGCACGCAGCCGAAATCTCGAACCTTGGGCCTACCCATAGGCCCCTAAGTAGTTCCTCTTTGTGACATTTTGTGTCCTTATATTTAGAATCCTATAAGGTATTCCCCAAAAAGGAACTACTTAGGGGCCTATGGGTAAACCAGCCTCGTCTTGCAATCTTACGACCAGCCGAGGCCCGGTTTGTTTACGGTTTAGGGCTCTGAGGTTGGGGTCTGGAGTTTAGGGTTTAAGGGATAGAGGGTTTAGGGTTTAGGGGAATCTTAGAGCCTTATTGCACACCCTAAAAAAACCCTAATCCCTAAACCTTAAACCTTAAACCCTAGGCCCTAAACCCTAAACCCTAAACCAAATTAGAGCCTTATTGGGGGTTTAGAGCTCAGGGCTTAGCTTTGGCCATTTGGCCATTAGGACTTCTTAGAGTTTCCATGGTTCAGGGTCGGCTGTAGCACGTCTCCAGCGCCTGCATGTTCATGCTTAGCCAGCGTTTAGGGTTTAGGGTATCAGGGTTTAGGATTTAGGGTTTAGGGTAAAGGCTTTAGGGTAAAGGGTATATAGGGTCTAGGGTTTAGAGTATATAGTGTTTAGGGTGTAGGGTATTAGTGTTTTTGGGGCCTAGAAAGCGGGTCTCCAGCCTCGACTTAGTATGTCTTTGAAGCCCGTTTGTTCATGAGAAATAGCCTACACCCTGAAACCTACCCCAACTTGCTTCAGCTAGTCAATCACTGACATCTTAGAGCCCCCAAGACCTAAACCCTAAACTCTGAACCCTCGCCCTAAACCCTAGACCCTAAAACCTAAAACCCTAAACCCTAAGCTCTGAACCCTCGCGACCCTAAACCCTCCGAAAATCTTAGAACCTTACCTATAGTCTACATTGTAGTTCCTTTTTGGGGGTACCTCTTAGGTTCCTTAAGATAGAATTGGTTAAACCCAAAAAAGGAACTACAATGGAGACTATAGGTAAAGCCCGGAACATGGAAGGACGTCTTTGCTGGCCTGGACTTGTCGCTGCGCGGGGGTTGGACCGTCTACCGCGAGTACTTCCATGTGGGCAAGGCGCATGCAGCAATATGGGACTCCCCAAGCAGCCCAAAGTAGGTACTAGTTTCAGACCCAAAGAGTCCTAAGTACCTATATAGCAGAATGTAGGGTTTCTATAGTAGGAATTACTACTATAATGATTTAGAAAAACAGTCAACCATCATAACTGTACCTAGGACCCCTCGGGAGACTTTAGACAACAAAGTAGGTGCTTGTTGTATACTTGGAGCCCCACGGTGTAAACTCTAAGCCCTAGTCCATAGTTCAAAGCAGTTCTCAACTCTACACCAAGCACATAGCCTCAGCTCTGAGTCATGACCCTAATCCCCGCCCCCAGACTGATGATCAGACAGGGTATCGCAACAGTACTCAGCATTCCTGGTCTGAGCGAAATCAGGCTATCACCATCATCATCAGCACCTTTATCATCATGATCATCATCATCATCATCAGCAGCATTTCGTCGTCCCATTATCTCATCAGCATCATTACCATCAGTCTGCACCATGACCATCATCGTTGCTGTGAGCTGGGTACACTCGATCGAATGGCCAGCTTGTTGCGTCATGCGGTACTTTGCTTCTGTGGCATTGCTGCCTGCGCCATAACAAGAATTGCAACATCCAAGGGGTTAACACCTGTCAACAACGACGACCACGACGACGACGACGACGACGACGACGGCGACGGCGACGGCGACGGCGACGGCGACGGCGACGGCGACGGCGACGGCTACAACAACAACAGCAGCAACAACAACAACAGCAACAGCAACAACAACAACAGCAGCAGCAGCAGCAACAACAACCTCTTCTTCTAACTACGGCTACGACTACGACTACGACTGCTGCTGCTGCTGCTGCTGCTGCTGCTACTGCTACGTACTACTGCTGCTGCTGCTGCTGCTGCTGCTCCTACTACTACTACTACTACGACGACGACGACGACGACGGCGACTACTACTACTGCTACCGCTGCTACTGCTACGCTGCTACTACTACCACCACTACTACTACTACTCCTCCTCCTCCTCCTCCTCCTGCTGCTCCTCCTCCTCCTGCCTCTGCTGCTACCACCACTAATGCTGCTTCTGCGGCTGTTGTTACTACTTCTGTTGCAGGGAAGAGACATGGGCTTCATGAGCGTCCTGTCCTTCTACGCGAAGGTGTCGATGGGCAACGCAGAGCAGGCGAGTTGTTCTGCTCGAGGCCAAATAATGAGGGACGTCATTTTTCGATGGGAGACCACTGTACATTTTTCGGCCTTAAAGCCCACATAGCCTTGTGAAAAAAAAAGAAAGCTGTGGTTCCCTGAAACCTAAACCACAAAGCCGTATGGAACCCTTACATAACCCTTTTTGGCAACCTTGTGACATTGTTCGAAACCCGGATGAAGCCTAGTCTGCTGAGAAGATGAAGCCTAGTTAATATGCAGGCAATTACACGTCAGTGGATGCGCTTAGGGCTTCACCTTGCGCCTCGGAGGCACTTCGGTTTGAGGTTTAGGGTTCGAGCTGAGCGTTCAGGGGTTTAGGAGGGTTCTTATGAATTAGGTTCTTTAAGACTCTAGGCATCCATGAGAGTCGTATAATTATAAGGACTCGATCAGGACTTTGGCAAGCACTTGTGGATTTGCAAGAGGAGAATCAGGAAATATGATTCAAAGCTTCCTCTGCCAGAAGCCCGCCGAATAGAAGAGGAGCCAGCCCTCACACAAGCCAAGCCTTAAGTCCAACAGGTTAGGCAAGATCCTGGCTGCGAAACCCTCAAGCCCTAAACCTCAAAACTCTCAACACTCATCTCCCAACCCCCACGATGCTAAGCTACCTTAGCCCTTGGTTTGTGCAGGGTCCTAGGATAAGCTTACGTGCAGAAGTTATCGGTTAGCCACAAGAAGCCAAGAAGTCTGGTTTATGGGTGGTTAGTTGTGCCACCAAGGAGTTGCCACAGCTGCTCGGAGTGTTTTACTCCCACATCGGCTTCTACGTGAACCAGTGCCTCGTGAACCGCGCGACGAAGGCCGGTTTTAGGGCCGGATAGGATCCTAGAATAAGAACCCATGGAACCCTAAACCCTAAACCCGAATCCTCATAGAAGCAGTTAAGCGGGTACTGGGGCTTCGGCTTTTGGGGTTCAGCTTCTGGGGTCTACTTGGAGGGCCTTGAATAGGGTTTAGGGTCTAGGGTTTTGTGTTTTGTGAGTTTTTGGGTGTGTTTTAGGGTGTGTGTTTTTTAGGGTTTTGTGGTGTTGTCTGGGGTTCATGGGGCTCATGGGTTTACTGGGGGTTTAGGGTTGCGGGTTCAGGGTGTTTGTAACGATCTACAAGGCCTACCCGAAGGGTTTAGAAGGGCTGCTCCCGAATGCTATGATTATCGTTGTGATAATGTCTACCCCTAATCAAGGCCCTATAAATTCTAAATCCTGAACTCTAGACCCTAGCCCTAAATTCTAACCCCCAAAACCTTGAACCCCCAACGCCCGGCAATAAAGCCTAAGGGTTTAGGGTTTAGGGGTTTAGGGGTTTAGGGTTTCGGGTTTAGGGGTTTAGGGTTTAGGTTTCCCAGAGACTCCAAAACCCCTTAATTAAGGAATATACCTTAAATTATTTTTAGAACCCTAATAAGATTTAAGGTATATTCCTTAATTAAGGGGTTTTGGAGTCTCTGGGTTTGGGGTTGAGGCTAAACCCCTAAACCCTAAACTTTAGGCTAAACCACGGCTCACCCGAAAACAGGCCTTTTGCTTCACCGCCGCCTTCTTCACCCTGGCTGGGGAAGTGCGGAAGCCGTTCATGGAGCTGGCAGTCGAGATGGTGTGCCTAACCTGAAGGGTTTAGGATGTTTTGCCTAACCTGAAGGGTTTAGGGTTTTGCCTAAAGGATTTAGGATTTTATAGAGTTTAGGGTTTAGGGCTTTGAGTGCCTAACCTGAAGGGGGTTTAGGGTTTTTTGAGATTTTAGGGTTTAGGATGTTTTAGAGTTTAGGGCTTAGGGCCTAGAGTTTAGGGTTTAGGTCATGGTAAGTGGTTTCCGTCGAGGTTCTAGCCTAGTATGAGCGTTCCACGAGGGCCCATACAGGTTTGTGGCAAGGCATTCATAGGGCCAAACTCAAATCACAGGGTTCTGGATAGTAAAACCACTAGGTCATCTCTCACAAAGCTCTGAATAACTTGTATATGATTTTGTCTCGTCTCCCCCTACAGCCTGCAGACGTAGCATGTATTTATGTATGTATCCAACAAAATCCCCAGATATCCCTGCGCTGCTCATCATCTTAGACCGTAAAACCCGAAACACTTTAAAATACAAGCTCCAGAACCCTAAGCCGTTCAGCTGAGGAGCAGCTACTTCGGCTACTTCTACCTGCTCTTCGTCCTCGCTTCCATGCTGCCCTACTTTGCCGAAACCATGCTGGAGGAAGGAGGCGCCTGGCTTTCTGGAGGGTTTAGGGTTTTGAGGGTTTTGATTTTTTTTTGGGTTTTTACGGTTTAGAGTTAGAGTTTTAGGGTTTAGGGTGGGTTCCCTTTAAATATTAAAGCCCTACTAAACTCCTAACAGGGAGCCCTGAGCCCTTAAAGGAACGCCTAGATCCTTAAAGGACCCTTTAACTAGCACGGAACCCCCTGATTAAGGGCTGAGGCTTCTCTAAAGGTTCTATAGGGGCTTACCTATAGTCTCCATTGTCGTTCCTTTTTGGGGTTACCTTTTAGGATCCTTCATATAGAAATGGTTAAACCCAAAAAGGAACTACAATGGAGACTGTAGGTAGGGTTTGGGGTGCAGGGGGAAACCAGGTCTTTCTTGATCTGTGTGCTTTGAGCGAAAACACGACACACTGCCCTTAAGAAAAGTATTCCTTACCCCTTATTAAGGAAGCTGCTCATACTGTATAATGTTTTCACAAGACTTGTGTATCGCGGTTAAGTGGTTTTATGAGGGGCTTTGTCATGTTTCACAAGGGCTTCACAAAGTTTAGCCTGCTTTGATAGGGCTCTAGTTGGGTTAAAGTCTTTTTGGTGTTTTTTGGACAGTTTGGGCGAACGGTCTACGGTTTGCATTTCTGTCGTTGTAGCATTGTGACTGCTATTACTGTTCGATTGCGACCAGTACGACTATTCCTGATATGGCTGCTAGTGCTGTTGTGCTACTACGTGCTGAGTGTTATTGCTCATCACCATGTTGGGCGAGATTTCTGTGACCGTCATATTATGCTCTTATTGCTCCTACGTTTGCTGACTGAGTACATTCATTGAACCCTAAACCCTGAACCCTAAGTTTACTAAGTCTTCATGATACCCTAAACCCTGAACCCTATGTCTGTATGATACCAACACGAAGAGCTAGTCACCAGAACAGCTAAACACAGACCTCCAATTGCCGATCAAGGTCTCTCTGCGTGCTACAACCTGGCTTCCTCGCTTCTGGCGTGCAGCAAATTGCTTCCAAACCCTAGAACTTACGGTTTAGTTTAACCCTAAACCCTATGCCCGTTTTTTGTTTTGTTTCTGTGGTTCCTTGGCTCCTTGGTGGGTTCTTCTAAGAATCCTTGGAGGGTGCTGCAAGGGCTTAGAATCGGATTATAGGGTTTGTAACGGGTTTGCCTGAGACTGTATGATTGTATGCAAAGAGTTCCAAGCCAGCAGGTTCTGTAAAACGTCTTCTACAAGGATTTGGGGTTTAGGGTTTAGGGACCTATGCATACGTAAACCCCAAGGCCATAAACCGTAGCCCTGGCTATCATTTCAAGGGTGACTGTTTGCCCTGCAGTTGTGGTGCCATAAAATTACGCAGACCTCAGCTCCAGTCCTCTAACCCTGCAGCTACTATTTCTTGGGGGTTTGGGGCCAGAGCAGCACCCTAAACCGTGCTAGCTTCATTGTAGAACATAGAATCCTGGATCATTACCAATATCATTTCTGAGGGCTCCTTCAGTATAGCTATACTAAGGAATGATGCCCCAAACCCGGTTTCAATTATTAAGGCCCTTGCAGTGTTCTTATCTTACTACCTTGTTGTTGACTGAGGGCCGGCCACTAGAGGCTCATTGGTAGCTGGAAGAAGGAGCCTTATGAGTGTTTAGGGTTTAGCTTTGAGGCGTGTAAGTCGATTTGATGATTCAGTGGCCTTCCTGTCGCTGTAAGCAAGCCCAACACCTCTCTGGAACCCTGTTTAAATGAAATCTTCCCAATAATTACATACTGTACTACGAAAGTTCCATTGGCAGTAAAAGCTCTCATCGAAAGGAAGCCCCCTAAACCCTAAACCCTAGACCCTACCCATAAGCTCCATAGTAGTCCCTTTCTATGGGTTTATATGGGTAATGTCAAAAAGGAACTACTATATGGAGCCTTTATGGGTAGATCCGCAAACCTTATGATATCGTCGAGGAACCCATGAAGGAATCCAGGAGCCCTTAAGGACCCTGCACCCAAAGCCCTAAACCCTGAACCCTAAACCCCTAAACCCTAACCCTAAAACCCTAAACCCCATAAACCCCTAAACCCCTAAACCCTAAACCCTAAAAAAAAGCCTAAACCCTTAAGGAGCCGAAGCAAGTGACGAGGCGAAGCTCCCTTTTATACAAGACAAGCCTGGGTAGTGGGGTAGGTGGGGCATTAATTCTAAGGGTGTTACTATAAGGGGTACTATAAGGGCTCTACAAGGGTTCTATGAGGGTTCTTGGTCGTAGAGTAGGTAACCTTTAACTTTTTTTGGGGGTACTATTCTCCCTATATGATCTCAATATACTGCCACTAGGAGACTAAACAAACCCTAAACTCTTGCCGGGCAAGTAGGCAAATGGCTGAGGCCCGATCTTCTCTGCTTTCCAGTCGAAGCTTATGGCGCACTTCTTCGCATCTCGACTGGCCATTGGCTTCCGGGCGTCAACAACTAGGCACTATCATGCAAGAAAACGTAGTAGAAGCCCAAAAGTTAGAAGCCCCAGAGCCTCACTCCTTAAGAGCACAGAAGGAATCCTAGCACTATTTGTCCTTAATCCGGTTTCCAACTCTTGGGCTTGTACTGTAGGACCTAGAGCTATTGAAGCAAGGGCCTCCGAGTTGCTCCGTAAGGCTGCTGACGATGCTGGCTTCGTTGTTGGACCTTCCTACAAGGGTTCTACGATGGTTGAATGGACTTCCGTTTTTCGTAGGATTCCATATGTTGATACGGCTTAAGGTTCAGCGCTTTCGTGCTGCGCTGCCATCTTTCCGGTGGCTCCGGACTATGAGGATTTCAGAAACATAAAGTCCAGAAAAATGCTGTTGTTAACATGGCTATATTCATTGTTACTACTTTATCCGTGCTTTTATGAATACAGTTATTCAAGTACCTTGAGAAAGCAACGGCCCGAGCCTTTGATTCTGATCATTCCAACTATAACCATATGTGTGTGTGTATATATATATATGGGTAGTTCTCTAAATTCGTGTCCCTCTGGGGGGTCCTGTTTATAAGGGTGCCGTACTATATTGGGAACCGAAAAATGGACCCTGATGTAGAAAACTACACAGATACTTTTGGATTCGGGGGTCTCACACCCTAAAACCCTTAGACCCTAAACCCTAAACCCCTAAACCCTAAACCCCTAGACCCCTAGACTCTAGACTCTGAACCCCTTAGACCCTGAAGCTCAAGTCCCTCCACGCTATGCCAGAAGCCCTGATCCCTAAACGCAGGGTTTACCCATAGGCCCCTAAGTAGCTCCTTTTTGTGGTTTATATTCAGAATCCTATAAGGTAATCCCAAAAAGGAACTGCTTAGGGGCCTATGGGTAGGGTTTAGGTCACCCTGAACCCTAAAGTTAGGGTTCGGGTTTGGGCTGTTCTGCCCAGGAGACCACCCTGAACTATGGCGGTGCTCAGTACATTCCAACAGGACGGGGCTTGGCAACCCAAAGGGAGCCCTTCGTGAAGAAGCTCGGCTTCTTAAACCCTAAACCCTAATGGTCGGTTGCTTTCCCTTTGTTGCAGAACTTCCTGGCTGGATACATCTGCAGACCCCTTTTGCAGAACCCTTTTTTTTCAGACCACTGAACCCTGTACAGTAGTACGCAATCCTGTATACACACTATGAAATCCTAAACCTTAAACCTACCTAAAGTCTCCATTGTAATTCCTTTTTTGGATTGACTTATAGGATCCTAAATATAAAACTTGTTAAACTACAAAAAGGAACTACAATGGAGACTATAGGTAAACCTACACCCTAATGAAACCCTAGATAGACTTAAGATCTTGACATCCGAAGCCCCGTGGCTGTTTGAAACCCACATTCGATGCATGGATCCAAAGATAGAGCGGTACCTCTCAAATACAGAACCTCGTTGGGAATTAAGATCAAGAATCATAGGCCATAGGGTTTGCTGCGGGGCTTGAGGAAGTAGCGCTCTTTATTAGACTTACTCTGTCCAAAACCCTGAGTCCAAGTATTCAGGCCTCTGTCTTGCACAGGTCAATGAACATGTCTTCCACAGGAGCTCATCCGGGTTCCCGGGGCCCTAAACCCTAAACCAGTAAACCCTAAACCCCAAACCCCTAAACCCTATTTCCTAAACCACTATAAATCCCTAAACCCTAAACCCTGAACCCTGCACCATGAAATGCTTCTCAAAGCTTTCACAAGAGATGTGAAATCCTTAGAGCGCCTCAGGAACTCCCTTTTGAAGCCCTAAACCCCAAACCCTACAACGCCCCACAAAGCCCTTCTCGAGCCCTCACTCCGAAATCTACGTGCGCAGTTCTCAAACTCTTCTTCGCCGCCTAAACCCTATAAAACCCAAGTGCAAAAAAGCACAAGCCCCATGACACCCTGATAAAGCTCCGAGAAGCCCTCGGCAAGAGCAGCGACCGAGGAACTTCCGGTGCTTCGCTCCTACTCACCTTTACGATGCCATGGAGGCCCGCGCGCGCGCGCGCGGCAGGACAGGCAAGCGTTTTGTACGGTAAATAGCACGAAAACACAACGCTGTTGTTGATTTGCACGGGTGTGGAAATGACGCGTTTCTGCATCAACACGCGTTAATTATAACTCGAAAAGTGGCTTTGGCGCACCTGCCAGCAAGATAGTAAAGCTGGCACATGCATGGACTGCAGTTGGAGACATAAGCTACAGTCTGTATGGGCTGCATTAGGAAAGACAGCATGCGCAACATGTTCTTCAGAAGTAGGACTCCATGAAATGCGAACGTGAAGCCGCGGAGATGACATGTTCTTAAGCGTCCGACCTGACGGAAATAGCCCTCCTAAACCCTATAAACCCTAAACCCTAAACCCTAAACCCCTAAACCCCTAACCCCTAAACCCCTAAACCCCTAAACCCTAAACCCCCCCTCTGCCCGCACCCCCCACACCCCACCCCAACCCCTCGAAGTTGGAAAGCCCTGCGCGCACCGGCACATCCAAGCCCTGACATCCGAAAGCCTTGGAAAAACCCGAGGTGAAAGGCTACCGAAAGATCGTGCTAAGTGCGTGTGAACAGGGCTTCGGAAGGTTTGATAAGGCACCCCCCAACAACAAAAAAAAAAAAGGGTAGCATTAGTAATTATTTAGGCCCCCCTAAACCCTAGGCCCTAAACCCTAAACCGCCCCTATAGCAGCCGAACTCCGAAAGGAAGCTCATGCGGTTTGTTCATGACCTCGAAAAGCTCAATACCAACGCTGCGACATCGCACAAAACCCTGTACCTATAGTCTCCATTCTAGTTCCTTTTTTTGGTTTAACCAGTTTTATGTTAAGGATCCCAAAAGGTAACCCCCAAAAAAGGAACTACAATGGGGACTATGGTAAGATTGCTTACGTAGCCCCCTTTTGTCGGAGGTGGTTGTGCTGCTGGTCTTCAGTGCCGGTGTGGATTATGGAGCCCTGGCGGCTTTTTGGGCTGGCGGCTTCGGGTTTAGCTGTACGGGTTTAGGGTTTGGGCGTTTAGGCTTGCAGACTTAGCTTGTGTTTGCTCAGGTGTCTCTGTGCTTTCAGCAGATGCTAGACCCAAACCTAGAAGCTCCAAACTCTAAACAAATTGGAAGCCCTTAGCCCGGAAGTCACTATCGTTCCTCGGATGCCTCCTACAGCTTGAGAAGTTTTTGAGAAGTTTGAAGCACTTGTTCATTGCGACCGCATGCTCCACATGTCGTTCACGCACTCAATAGCCGTTTTCACGTTTAGCGTTTAAGTAGTGCGGCGGCCGCAACAACAGTCTAATGCTTTTCTTCCGGCCTCTCTTGTGTATTAAGTATTATGTATGTAGAGGCCGCGAACCCTCTTGGTCTAAGTATTCATGCTGCTATATTGGGGTAAGGTTGATTTGAATTGGTTTTAAATTTGGTAGGGCCTAAACCCCGAAACCCTAAGCCCTGAATCCTAAACCACAAGGGTTCCGTCAGCGCTGCATAGAGTACGGGCTTCGCCAGGGTTTGGGAGTTCCGTCGTCTTCTCGGGGTGTAGGGTTCAGGGTTGAGGGCTTTTAGGGTTTAGGGTTTAGGGGTTTAGGGTTTAGGGGTTTAGGGTTGAGGGGTTTCGGGGTTTAGGGTTTAGGGTTTCAGGGTTTGGGGCTGCAGCGGGGTTTGGTGTCCAGGGTTATCTTATCTAACCTTAACTCTAAACGAAGATGCTACCCTCAAAGGGAGCCTGTCTTAAGCATGCCTCTGGGGAACGGGTACGTTTAGCCGCCTTCAGACTACCAAACAAATCGAGAAAGCCCAGTGTGTGGGGTTCTTCCAGCCCGTCACCAAGGTCGGCCCGAAGAAGCACTGCGCCCTAGTACTAAAGTCTGGATGCTAAACCCTAACCCCTAAACAACCCTAAA